GCAAGGAATGGAGGACACGGGGTAGAAACCTCTCTACCTTCTAAGTGCTAATGGTCAGATACCCGCCCCTTGGGCTGGGGACTGGGGCTCCTTCTCAGAAGGAAAACAATGGAGGAGGCAGTAGACTCAGGGCTCCAAGCACCCCATCAGGAGGGTAAGATTCAAAACTAAACAGAAGTCTAACCACGGCATAGTCGGGCCCCCTTGACTTTGTCATCTTTGCCCATGACCATTTTTCCCCAGGAAAGTTAAACTCTTTGGGAAGATGACAAGGACTGGAACCTCCAAACCAAGGGCCCATGTTGTTTACAGACAGGGTCCATTCTGAGAGATGGGTCATCAGATGACGTTATCATCATATGCCCAACATGGAACCTGTGCCAGGTAGCCGCTCAGTGGTGCAGTGTGTGCTTGCTGTATTTAAGGTCTAATGTCCAGTCTCCAGTGAGGGCACCAGCTGTCTTGGAGTACACACATAGCACAGACAAGAGATACCCTGCCTCAATGAGGTGCAAGGAGAGCACCAACCCCTGTCCTCTGACCTCCACGTGTGCTCATTGGCATGTGCATGACCTCAAGCACACACATGTCAGCACACACAAAGATAAATTTAAAAATTGAAAGGTTACTGTGAAAAACCCCTGGAGGCTCAGGCCCCCAGGATCTCAGCCCAGGACCTCGGCCACCCCAATCACCAGGTGGAGTCCTAAGCTTGATGCAAACAGCACGAGGCTTTATTGTAGTTGTTTAACGAGCTAACCCCATGTTAGCTCAGGCCTTTCATCCATCCACCATGGTGGATGGCTAAGAAAGACAACAAGAAGCCACTGGATAGAGATCTTATAGGGCAGCGTAAGGGGAGTGTCTAGGGGTACACACAGGCTCAGGATTGGTGTGCTTCCAGGCTTGCCCTGTGTTGATTGGCCAACTGGTTGTTATGGCCCATAGGCCCTCCCAGGGTGGTTGCTAGCTCTGCACGTCATTGCTGTGCACTTGTTGGTAAAGCACACCCAGAGCCATAAAGCATACCACCACCAGCTAACTTCTGATTGGTCCCTTGCCACAAGGCAGGCGTCTGACCTCCTAATGACCAAGGCAAGGTCAGGCAAGCACATGCTAGGCTGTTAAGGCTGCCAAAATGGGGAGCTGGTCCCTTCAACTGGGCCATAATAAGCCCTAGGTAATGGATCCAGAGAGGAAGAATAAAGTCAGGAAAGGGCCCTGGCCTCCTGCCCACAGTGCTGGAGATACTCGCTCACAGGGGCTTCCCTACTACACTGGTTTTCTCTTCTGTGAACCCATTCCCCAGAGACTGCAGTCACACACACCTCTGGATAACTGAAATTCAACACTAGGGTAGAGGAAGAATCAGGGAGGACAAGGTTCAAGTCCCATGGAAGGCAATTTAGATTCACTTCCTCACTCCCAAATTCTCCTACACCCTAAGAAGCAGTGGGCCTCTTTGGCCAATTGTCAGCTGCCGGGCTCTCCTGTGTCTAGAGGAACAAGGTGTTGGCTTGGTCTGGGGCCAGAAAATCCAGCTGCACCATCTGCCTGACCCAGATGTGTGAGATGCCTGGCCACAGCCAACTCTGATTCAGACCTTTCAACCCTTCATCAGATCCCACTCATCCTCCCTGCTCCTCTCTCTGTTCCCAATCACTCTCCCTGCAGGTGGCTAGCAGACTGGCCTCAGAGGTTCTATTCTTGGAAACTGGTGTTAATGTCCCTAGTTCAGTGAATTAGACAGTGGTTGACTGCAAAAAGTCAGAGAGACTTCTCTTACACTTGAACAATTCCCGCTCACTCCCATTTCTTATATTCTTATAGCTTGGGGGCCAAGAACAATTCTCTCTTGAGAAAGAATTGAAAATGAAAACAGTCTCGCCTTACGTTTACATAGCATTTTCTCTCTGCAAAGTCTTTTGCATACATTATTTCACACATTTGACCCACACAGCCACTGTTTATATTTGTTATTGGGGTCGAGACTCTACTCTGCCTTCCTCATCAACTTTTCTTTCTTTCTGGTAGGGACACAAGCAAGGCTGTCTGCAAAGGAAACACTAAGAACACATGAAAGGGGATCTGCTGCTCCACAGAAGGGGTGGGAGCTAGGCTAAGGAAAGCACCAGGCCTGGAGCAGTGGAAGCAGAAATCCACAGCACACACTGGCTTTAGTGACTCATGGAAATATGTACTATAGAAAACAGCCCATCACACCTGGGCCAGACAGACAAAGACTGCTCCTCTCAGTTTTAACTGAAGGAACCTGCTCCCCTTTCGGCAGCCATAACAGCTGAACACGTGCTTGTCATAAACTTGCCTTGGTCACTTAGAGGTCAGATGCCTGTCTCGTGACAAGGAACCCATCAGAAGTTAGTCACTAGAAAGTCAGATGCCTGCCTTGTGACAAGGAACCAATCAGAAGTTAGCTGGTGGCGCAATGCTTTATGACTCTGGGTATGCTTTATGGACAAGCGCACAGCAATGAGCTTAGCAACCACCCTGGGAGGGCCTATGGGCCATAACAACCAGTTGACCAATCAACACAGGGCAAGCCCTCCAAGCCTGGAAGCACACCAATCGT